CTGAGCTAAATACCATGGACTAGATTAAATTGTAAGAATTTAGTATTAGGAAAACTTGTTTTGTTTTCTAGCTGATAATACTCTGAAAATAAATTGGTGAGAAAGACCGATCTTTTGTTCATTGTTCTTTTTTTTTTTTTTTTTTTGGCAACAAAGTTAGTTGACTCCCAGTCCAGAAGTTGCCAAGTTGCCACCTAATCCTGAGTGTAAACACACATACACATTTTTTGTCCCTTTCTCTTTCAAACATAACCCCCCACCCCCATACAAAGACAAGATGGGAAAAAAGGGAGAGTGGTTCAATTTACTCATGAGTAGCCATTTAGGTATGCACAGAAGAAACTGTTCACATAGTTAACTTAGATTATCTCCCATCCAAGATATTTATCCCAATTAAAAGATATTTTTTGCTGGGTGCAGTGGTACATACCTGTAATCCTAGCTGCTCAGGAGGCTGAGGCAGGAGGATCACAAGTTCAAAGCCAGCCTCAGCAATTTAGCAAAACCCTAAGCAACTTAGCAAGACCCTGTCTCAAAATAGAAAATACAAAAGGGCTGGAGACATGGCTCAGTGTTTAATTGTCCCTGGATTCAATTCCCAGTACAAAAAAAAATATTATTAAGTGAAATGAAGTTGTATTAGACATTGTGATAAACAAAAGCATAGGAACATAGGCCCTTTCTTACCACAACCATCTAGTTAGGGAAACAGGCTTGTCCTCTCCCACCTCACACAGGTGATCTGTCCTGGCTGCAGTGGAAGTGCTGAGACTGAGGAGTGAGAGTGAGCTACCAGTCAACTCTTTCTATTGGACTGATACTGGACCGAGATTTTTATGTAAATTTATGTAAATCACTGCACCTTTACCACAGTCTTATGGCCATTGCTAAGGAGAGTCTGAGAATTCAGTTTGCCCAAGGGTATATGGCCAGTATTCAGCGACAATTTAAATCTTGCTCTGACTCAAAAGCCCATGTTTTTATAAATTTTGTCTAATACTTTATTTCACAACATCCTAAATTTAGTTTTTCAAAGAAGAGAGAATATTTTAGGGACAACATCACAAAGAAGTTGGAATTTGAAAACTGAAAAGCAGGATGAGGGGCAGGCACCGGGGAATCAATTTCAGGCAAATTGAAAGATTTACCCCAGTGAAGTTGGAGGTATAAAGATATTAGGGGCCAACAATCAGTCTAGTTTGGGTAAAATGAAATGGGATTAGAAAAGATGCATAGGAAGAAAGGAAAGACAGTAGTTAGTTTTCAATATATTATGTGTCTTCATTTTTTAGGTATTTGAGAAATTAGAAATAGGACACGAGAAATAATTAATAAAACTTTAGCTCTCCATAACTGGAGTTCAGAGAAATCTCATATCATCAGAGGCAATTATATTTTTAATGTTCTTTGTTTTTCTTCTCAGGTGAACAATCATTATTGTAAGGAGATATCTCTGAAGTAATTTGTAAAGAAAATACTACAATTGTAAATGCTTTAGTATACCAATGAGTTCCTGAAGGTGGGCTATTTTAGAATATTAAAAATAGATATTTAACACACTAGAACTATTATACAGAAATGAGTGATGGATTGTTTATCTACACAATCTCATTATTCATAATTCTCTAGGGAAAATTTGTCAGGTTTTACTTAATACCAAGATTTATTATCTGCTTTAGAGGTCCACACAAATACTAGGGGTTAGTCTTTTATTCATGGCAAGATTGAGATCCATTCTTATTAATAACGTGGACCTCTTGAACGCACCATTCCACTTGGAACTACATGATTGTTTTGCTTTAGCCTTTGAAAGATACAGGTGTTTTAAATGTTAACATACTTATCCATAGTACATAAAGTAAAAATACTCAAATGATCATGCTTATATCTTTTCACTGATTATTGGTGATTATTAAATGTTCAATTAAACCTTTATCCACCCTATAAATTTAGTTGCTCATAAGAAAGAAAAAGTTCTGCATTTGAAGACATGTTCTTCTTCTTTTTCCATCTTGAATTACTTGGAAATCATTTCATAAGAATGAAACTTGTTTGCCACACCACTGAGTCAGAGACAGGCTTAGATGTCCATGGCTTGACCAGAAAGAAAGAACAGAAACAAGCCCAATCTCCTATGAAAGCTTCAAGTGGAATTCAAATACAAATGTAATTTACTAGTGCCAGAAGTGAAAAATCTGTATCATTTGCATGGCAAGTGCAGGGTTAATAAACAAAAAAGAAAAGACTGAGAGGCAATTTTCAGGGAAGAAGAGATGCAAGCAAAGCTTTTCCCCGAGCTTCTCTGAAATGGGAGTTGATCAAGCAATTAATATAGTTAAAAACACAAAAGCACACTTGGATCTTAATCTACCTGAGGAAAGTGATCCAAACCAAATATGAAAAATTGATTGACTAAGACGACTTTCCAGTGAGGTGGAAAAGTCTCATAAAAATCCAGAAATGGAATACGAGGAGCAAGTTCACAGGGCCCATGCTGTCTGTCTGCACCGAATGACCTTGTAGTGATTAAATGCCGTTCAATTAACCAGGGAGTATTCACTTTTACTAATGAATGTTCATTGAAACTCTGGTTGCAACAATAACTATTTTTGTATTTTTTTCCCATCTCATTCTCCCCACCAGCCCCCACCCTCAACCTCCAGTCAAGCATATTTTATTGTAAGAGAAAGAATATTAAGGATTGAGGCCCAAGTTCTTACCTTACACAAGCATCAATTATCAAAAATGCAAAATGGTATCATACTGTGTGATTCCAGTGAGACAACACCAGGCTCTCATCCTGGCTGATGCTAGTTTGTAAGTGCTGTGAGTCTAGGGACAGCATCTACATTTGTTCACCCTGTTCCGCCAGCATGTTGCCTTAATTAGTGCTCAGTTAACATTTGGAGAGAAAAATAAAAAATCAAATGCATCTCTACTTCACAAATTGGGTGGGCATGTTATGTGAAGTCATGGGATACATATCTTCCATGAGGATCAACTCTTCTGGAAAATTTAAGAAGAAAAGTTAAGTGATTTAACAGGGTTAATTAAAGTGGATCTATATTAAAATACATTTGGATAATTTATGGGTAGAATGCAAAACTCAACATGAATTTAGAAGAGTAAAGTGGAACTTCAAAGCAGTTTTACTAGGTGGCTGCCTCCAGCTTTGCCCTCAGACCTCTTTCTCACCAATACAGATCTTCAGGGAGAAGCTTGAGAAACTCAGTAGATGAATATTGGATAAATAAGATGCAAGGTGTAGGCCTCAAAGAAGACAGATTCATGTCCTCTGTGCAGGCGCTTGACCCAAGTGCAGGCCCTGGTGTCCAGGAGGTTGGGATGAGGATGCAGGCCTATGGGTCTAATGCAACATGCAGTGAACATGGCTGCTTCCAGGTCAAGGTGACTCACTATCACTATTCCACTACAGGGTGGCAGGGACGGCTGGGGAGTGCCAGTGAACAAACTTTGTCATCCAGTGTTGAGTTTACCCTTTCCCGAGTCTGAACCTGAGCATAGGTGAAGTGCCCATGTGGCCCTGCCCTGCTCTTATAGTGCAGGTGCTGGGCAGTGCCTCTCTTTAGAGGAATTAAGTATAGGGGTCTCTTGGGGAGTCTTCCTTTTCCTCATGGTAGGGACTCCTAAAGACAAACATCCCCAGTTAATTCTTGACAGCTGAGTATTTTTGATGCCAGTCTTATCCACTGGAGCAGAATGAAGTCCTATTTAGGCAGCTCTGACACGTGACTTAGGCAGTTTCTAGGACTGAGCCCAGAACCCTGGGTGACTTAGCAGTCTCCTGGCTGCTGCAGCATCTGCAAACCCTGAAAGCTGAATGCGGGGCTTAGAATTGAACCAAGTCTCTATGCGCTCAGCTCCTCATTCTGCTGGCTGCTCTTAGAGATGACAGGGCACTGGCTGGTAAGAGCATGCCTCTCTTTGGAACCTGGAGGCCCAGATGACTTCATGGGACCAGCATCCTGTGCAGTTCTAAGGACCACACTGAGAAGAGTCCCACATGATTTAGGTTAGGACTCTTCTGTTGAGGTCTTGAAATTTGCGATTTTATCTCTGAATTTGGGTTCTGTAAATGAAGTCCCATGGAACAGAGGACGTAGCAGGCACATGATAAAGGAGATGGAGCTCAAGATGCTGTCTGCAGGTCTTTGTACCCATTCATAAGTGATAGTCACAGGGTCCCATCAGTACAGAACTCCAGTGGATCCTTGATGGGTGGAGTTCAAACAGGCTCAATCTGAGAACAAAGTAAGCATTTTCACCCACAGCTGAGGAGATAGGGGGCTGAGAGCCCTGCAGACCACTCTCCATCTGAACCAGAGCTTGCTTCCAATGCAGAAAGGTGATGGTGGCCTCTAGTGACCAGATCGTTGGGAACTGTATCATATCCTTTCTTACTCACGTCACTTACCTACATTAGTCAGCCACTTAGGATGACATGTAAGGACAAGGAAAGAGAAGTGTTCTTTTTTCTTTCAGTTTTTTTCCCTATCAGTAAACCAAAGATAGAGTAAATCTATCAGTAAACCAAAGATAGAGAGTGTATACATATCAAAAAGTGAAATAAAAGCAGTTGATTCGGTGTTATGCAGAATTTCCACCATTTTGGTAAGATCTAACATATTCATGTTTGATTGTCTGTGATTCTTCTCATTTCATTGATTCCCAATATAAGTGAAATGCTCTTATATTTACCCTTAAAACTGGCAATGAAGATATCAAAGGAGAACTGGACAGTGTCAACAAACAGAAAACACAGTTTAGGAAAAAAAATCAAAACACCCTCTTAAGCAATCTTGGAGGCCCATGAAAGAATTTTCAAAAGAGTTTACAGGCATATGGATTTAGAGAAACAATCATTAGCCACCAGCACAAATATCTGTTCAAGAGATAAAAATTCCAAGACCATACATACACACACATAAATAGACAACCAAACAACACTATCCCAATCTAACACTGAGGGCTACCATATAATAGGAAAGCATAAAAGCAGCCCCCACTACCACAAATTCTACAGCTGAGTTTCCCACATTTGGAAAAATCGCAAGATCACGATGTCTGCTCTATATTAGATGAGACTTTTCCTGGAAAAACTACCTTTGTGATCATGGTGTCTCCCCTACCAGGTAAATACAAAGCACTTGAGAATAAATCTAACCAAGGAGGTGAAATACCTCTACAATGAAAATTATAGAACACTGAAGAAAGAAATTGAAGAAGACTTGAGAAGATGGAAAGGCCTCCCGGGTTCTTGGATAGAGAGAATTAATATTGTCAAAAGGCCATATCATCAAAAACAATCAGAGTCAATGAGATCCTATCAAAATACCAATGACATGCTTTACTATAGCTAAGAAAAATAGTCCTAAAATTCTTATGGAAGAGTAAAAGACTCAGAAGAGTCAAAGTAATCCTGAGCAATACGAATATTGCTAGTGGCATTACAAAATCTGACCTCCAATTACACTACAGGACTATAGTACCAAAACAGCTTGGTATGGCATAAAAACAGACACATAGATCAATGGAATAGAAAAGAAGACACAGAGACAAATCCACATGGATACAGTCATCTGATCCTTGACAAAGGTGCTAAAAACATGCATTGGAGAAAAGACAGACTTTTAAACAAATGGTACTTGGAAAACTGGACATCTATATGTAGAAGAATGAAACTAGATTCCTCCATCTCTCACCCTGAACAAAAAATCAACTCAAAGTGGATAAAGACCTAGGAATTAGAGCAGAAGCACTGTCACCGCTTGAAGAAAACTCCAACATTTTGGCACAGGCACTGACTTCCTTTCTTCCTAAAGCTCAAGAAATAAAACCAAGAATCAGTAAGTGGGATGGTCTCAGAAATCAAAAGCTTGTGCACAGCAAAGGAAACAGTTAAGAGCATGAAGAGAGATCCTACAGAATGGGAGAAAATCTTTGCCAGCTTCTCTTCTAACAGGGGATTTATATCCAGAATATATAAAGAACTTGAAAAAAATTTAACATCAAACGAACAAACAATCCTATCGATCCATGGTCAAATGATCTAAACAGACATTTCTCAAAAGAAGAAATACAAATGGCCAACAAATATATGGAAAACTTTCAATATCCTTAGCAATCGGGGAAACACACATCAAAACTACACTGAGATTTCATCTTGCTCCAGTCAGAACGGCAATCATCAAGAATACAAATAACAGTAATGCTGGTGAGGATGTGGGGAAAAGGTACACTAATATATTGCAAATTGGCCCAACCCCTGTGGAAAGCAATATAATATTTCTCAAAAAACTAGATTTGGAAACATCATATGACCCAGGTATCCCACTCGTTATTTATCCAAAAGAACTAAAATCAGAATCCTACAGTAATACATTCATACAAATGTTTATTGCAGCACGATTCACAACAGCAATGTTATGGAATCAGCCTTAGATTAATGGATTATCAACAGACTAATGGATAAAGAAAATGTGGTATATTGCACCAATTTTTAAAAATAAATAAGTGGAAGGAAATCCATTAGAGTAGAGGGGGAGGGGTCAGTGGAAGGGAGGGGGAGAGGAAAAGAAGAACTAAGAATTGAAATGGAGCAAACTATGTTATATGCATCTATGAAAATGTCAAAATCAACCCCATTATTATGTATAACTACAATGCACTAATAAAAACATCTCAAAACTGGCAAAGCACAATAAAAAATTGCATATTAATGGTTTAAAATTTTCACTTTTTCTTTATTCAGGACAACATTAAATTAAAAACCACCATGACAATTTGAGAAGAAAGAGCATAAAAGAAAGGGAAAGGCAGTATATATCAGTACCTGTAATGGCATTTTTCTCCCTTTTTGAATAAGGGGCCCACATTCTCATTTTACAAATTCTGCAGCCAGTCTTGTCTGAAAAGAGATAGTAGAAACCATCCACTCAATCTCTATGATCTGACTAATGATGTGCTTATATAAAGGTTCTCAATAGAATGAATTTGTTAGTATTCTTTCTTTACAAACAATAAGTACCACCTTCTAAGAGAAGATTTTTCAAACCAGATGTGGGACAAGAGGGGTTAAAGTTCAAAGCCAGCTCACTGAGTTTCATTTAATTTTCTTGAGCCTTTCCCAAGAGATCAATTATTTTGTTTCTACTAAATTCATAGATATTACTCCAAATGCTCTTAGATACTGATAATTTAAATAAGAACTTGGCTATTCAGCAGTGATGTGCAGAAATCATAGCATCTCCTAATGGTACCTATGAGACCCATTGATACCTGGTGGTTAAAATATGTCATTTGGAAGCCCAGGGACATGGTGGAGAAGATGGTCTTAGAATTTCCTGTGGCATTTAGCTGGTTCCCTGGTTCCAATCTCTGTACATTCCAACCGCCTCTGCCTTTAATTTTTTAATCAGTTTCTGTGTTGATCTGGTGAAGCAATCTGTGCCTCTTTATAGTATATATCAAGCTCACAGCTGGCTTCCTCCAACGCCTGGCGGTCTGCATGCAGGAATGATTTTAATGCTCTTAGTCTCCTGTTCTGACACTTCCCTCACTATTCAGCATCTTCTAATACCATTCTCAATGTTCCTTTCAGGATCTCTCAGCACAGTTAGCCAAAATTGAGTGAATGCCTCCAAACCAAGGATCAGATTCTGTTTAATTCTCCTCATGATGGGGAATTGACTAGTGAGGGCCCTGTCCACTTTGATAAAGTGCTTTATGTTTTTATTTTCCAGTTTTTGTTTCCAGTTGACACTAGAGCTGATGAGCTTATTTTATAACTATCAGAATTCTCTTCCCCCAGTGGTTGCAAGATCAATGGAGACAGATGGGATCTCTAAGTCATCTGCTTCACTCTTTCTATAGCTGACATTTAAGAAAAATAGTGACTCTGTCATGCCTCCGTGATCGAAAGTAGGGGTCAGCAAGCTTTCTGAAAGCCTGTAAATATTTTAGGCTTGTGGGCCACACAGTCTCAAATATAAATGAATGAATCTGGCTGAGTTCCAAAAACACATTAAAAAAAAAAAAACTTTAACAAAAGCAGCTGGCAGGTTGGATTTGGCCCATAGTCCATAGTCTGAAACCACAGAAAATTCTGAATCTTGGTAATTTTCCCCTCAATCTTCCTCCCTCCATCTCTGTTTCTCTTTATTTGCTTTATACACATTAGATTCACAGCATCTCCATTCTCAGCTCTGTGTTCTTCATATTCCAAACACCCTCCCTAGTTGATCTCACCTGTGTATCTGTGACCTCCCATCTGCTTGGGCTTCTCTCACAAGGACCAGAACCATTTGTTAAATCTAGAAGCTGGAAGTCTCCACATTTAATTTTCCAGAGGCATTCTAATCTAACTTGTTAGCAATTTTTAAAATATAATCCACTGTCTTTCTTTACACTGAGAACATTCTTTAGTTGGCGAATTGAATTCACCCATTTTCCCACTCAGATTCCCCACTCAAATCGTGACTAAGCCCTATTGACTAAAATACGCCTTCCTTTGTCCTCTCCCTGACTGGAGTCCGCCACACCCTGAGTGGGCCTCCTGGATCGGTGTTCCACCCTGCCACCCTCATAGTCTAGTCCACATGCAGCTTCCTAATGGTCTCTTAGAAATGCTGATCGGATCATGTCGACACCTACCTAACTTATTGCCCAGAATGACACTTCAAGCCCCCTGATGACATTGCCTTTGCTGGATGTGCATGCAGAGAGAGACAGACATACAGACTAGCAGACAAGATAGATAGACATTGTTATGATTAGAACATACTCAGGGTCATCCAAATGTTGAGACCACATTCTGAGAGCTTTCCAGAAAAAATATCTGAATACAGAAAAATTCAAACCAAAGGCTCCTTTTCACTCTGCTCCAATGCTAATATGGAAGGTGGTGAACTGGGCTAGCCCATAGGGATCCAAAAGTATCATTTTGCCTGGGTTAGGTTAGGTAGACCCAAATTTTCCCCAAGTCTCTCCTTCTGCTTTTATTTCTACAAGGGGTAGAAGGGATGCTGGGAGGAGAGGGTTAGGTGATCAAATAATGGGTGCATTTGTTTCCCGGGGCTCTTGGTCCATCAAGACCTCTGATCCTATGAGAAGGGAGCTAGAGGAGACACAGAGAGCCACAGAGGCCTCTTGTCAGAGAGAAGCCCCAAGACCTTCTGTACTGTGGCCCTGTGTAAAGACAGAAGCCGGTGCCAAGTGCCAGAAGGCAGAGAGCAATGGGGAGGCCTACATGGAGGAAAGACAGCCAGGCCTTCTACCAGGATGGGTGGCAGAGCTGTCTTTGCCTGAGCTGGCCCCTAAGGGCTAAAGCAGGAATGACTTCTACACCTGGTTCTGAGACCCCCGGCCCCCAAATATTTCTGCAAATGTTTTCAATGTACTCTCCACTTTGGAGGTGGGATGAGGAAGAACAAGAGTGGCAGCCATGAGAATTCCTTAACCAGCCAATTTCTCCAGCATTAGTTCTCAGCCCTCTTCTAACAGTACCTTGGCTTGGGCCTGAGGAGCACGTCTGGTTGCCCTTCCTCCACAGCTGCTGGACCCTGTCTCCCCTGCTCCTCCTGGTGACTACCACAACATGCCCATCTCACCCCGTGACTCCTTCTCCGAGGTCCTTCCTGTGCACACAGACAGAGTGGTCCAAAGCCTCCTTTGTGCCACAGTCAAGCCCACTGCAACAGATTTAATTATACTTAGTTTATTATGATTACTTTATAATATGTCTATTTCCCTTAACAAATCTTGAAATCCCAGATGGCAGGAGCTCTATCTCATGGGCCTTTCTACCACATGGGTAAGACAAAAGCACATTGTGAATCCTAAAGGGAAAGTTTTTCAATGATTGGTGAAGGAAGGGAGGAAGGGAGGAAAGGAGGAAGGGAAGAGGGATGGAAGGGCTGTAATTGATTAGAAAAGCTTGGGCTAAGAGTTTTAAAATGTTTAGTGTTAGAGTGACACTGCAATTTTCTTTTTATGAAGAGCCAGAAGACTAGTAATTTATATGAGTGGGCATGCTTATTATCTTAAATAATTATCACAAACATATTTTTGGTATATGAATTGTAGGAGCTATGGAAAGCACAAAAAAGAATATGGCCAAGATTTTAACAGCACAAAAATTAG